ACTTAATAGAGGCACTTAAATGAAAGGGATAATTTTCATAAGACCAGCCACAGAAACCGGCCACGTTCATAAACATAATATCAGCTCTTTGATCATGCAGGCAGCAGGAGGTAAATAAATATAAAAAATATAGTCAGGTTTAATAGCTGTTTAACCCTTTCCTACAGCCGCCTCCCAGCTCTTTAAGAGGTTCTAAATGCCGGGAGGTGGAGATGGGCATTCCGATCATGTGACCGCTGTGATTGGCAGGCACAGCAGTCACATAATCGGAAAGCTTTCTGGTACCCGCAGGTAACTGTGCTGGGAGCTCTCAGAATGGAAATGTTTACATTTGGGAAGCATATATGAAGCCTCTTGTTGTTAAAGCCCACCCGATGAGAGGTCGCATAGATGCATATGGCCGGTGAAAAGAGGTTAAGAACCCTTACCAAGAAGCACTTTCTAGAAAGATGTCAGTTTTCATTTTACATCTACTTTAGATATTATGGGTAAAACCATAAAAAGCATCCTTTTTGCCCTGGAGCCAGCTGTGCCCCTAGGGTCACCAGTTTAGAGCACAGATACAGCTTAGAGGTAAGCTATAATTATTTTTTACCCCCCATCATGCTTACAGGCTCACAAAGATAGGAACATTTTACCTGCCCATGGATGCTGAAAAGCATAACGGTAGTGTCTGGCTTACTGGCCAGAAAGCCCGTCTTAGTTTTCTGAGGGTCATGTATTCACCCTGCAATCAATGTTTCTTTTTAAAAGAGTAGAATACAATATTCCATGCAAGTAGTTAAAAAGTAATCAAATACATCAGTGTCTAATACATAGCAATTTATCTATATCAGTCAAAATAAGAAAACCATGCCTTCTGTTATGTAAGGTTGAGATTAAGTTATGGCCCACAAGGAACCAAAATTATCCTAAACAATTTAGGGAAACGAAATGGAAAAAAAAATCTGCATCGCCAGTAAATTATTGATCTGTAGCTAAGAGTCTTATCTGTTTTGCTGTATTCCTTTAACCACTTGCCCTCTAGAGGATTTACCCCCCTTAATGACTAGGCCTCTTTTTGCTACTCGGCACTGCACTAATTCAACTGATAATTGCGCGGGTCATGCAATGATGTACCCAAACTTTAAAATTTTATGTCCTTTTTTCACACAAATAGGGCTTTCTTTCGGTGGTATTTGATGACCTGTGCGCTTTTTATTTTTCGCGCTATAAACAAAAAAAGACTGAAAATTTTGAAAATAAAAACAATATTGTTTACCTTCGGCTATAAAATATATATAGTAAACTTAAAGTTAGTTATAAATTTAGACCAAAATGTATTCTGCTACATGTTTTTAGTAAAAAAGAAATCCCAATAAGTGTATATTGATTGCTTTGTGTGAAAGTTATAGTGTCTACAAACTATGGTATAGATACTGCAATTTACACCATTTTTTTGCTATACAGTGCTACACTAGTTTAACTGACAATTACATGGTCATGCAACATGGTACATAAATTGAATTTATGTCCTTTTTTTAACATAAATAGAGCTTTCTTTTGGTGGTATTTGATCACCTGTGCACTTTTTATTTTTGGAGCTATAAACAAAAAAAGTTTTGAAATTTTTTTTTTTAAAAAAAAACAATATTTTCTCATTTCTGTCAATATCCAAAAAAACTAAAATTTAGTCATAAATTTAGGCCAAAATGTGTTCTGCTACATATTTTTGGTTAAAAAAATCACAAAAAGTGTATATTGATTGCTTTGTGTGAAAGTTATAGCATCTACAAAAACTATGGTATAGATAATGGAATTTACACAGCTTTTCCTTTCTGACTGCTCATTACATTTTGTGAGGTACGAAAATACCACTATAGTACAAACACCCTCAAATGACCCCTTTTTTGAAAGTAGACACCCTAAGCTGTCTGCTGAGAGGCATATTGAGTCCATGGAAGATTTATTTTTTTCCCACAAGTTTCTGGAATATGACAAAAACTTTTTTACACAAAGTTGTCATTTAAATTATATATTTCTCGCACAAGCCATGGGCATATGTGGAATTACACCCTAAAATACATTTTGCTACTTCTACCGAGTATGGGGATACCACACGTGTGAGACTTATTGGGAGCCTAGCCATATACAGGAGCCTGAAATCCAATGACCGCTTTGAAAGCCTGAAGGTGCGTAACTTCCTCATTACACTTCCTCACTACCTATCACCTTTCCAAAGGCCCTGAAATGCAAGGATAGCACCAACCCCCCTCCCAAATGACCCCTTTTTGGAAAGTAGACATCCCGAGGAATTTAAAAACAGGCATGGTGAGTATTTTGCAGATCTCATTTTTTCTCACAAGGTTTTGAAATATAAAAAAAGAAAATAAAAAAATATGTTTTTTGCTTTTTTCTTCATTTTCCAAAAACTTGTGGCAACGAACGAGATCTGCAAAATACTCACCATGCTTCTTATCAAATTCCTTGGCGTGTCTATTTTCCAAAAAGTGGTCATTTTGGGGGTTTGGTGCTATCATGGCATTTCAGGGCCTCCGAAACTGTGATAGGTAGTCAGGAAGTGTAATGAGGAAATAAAGCCTTTTAAAAGCCTGAAGGTCCTTATTGGATTTTGGGGTCCTGTACTTGGCTAGACTGCCAAAACGTCTCTCACATGTGGTACCCCCATACTCGGAAGACGTAGCAGAATGTATTTTGGGGAGTAATTCCACATATACCCATGGCATGTGTGAGCAATAAATCATTTAAGTGAATTTTGTGAAAAAAAAATAAAAACATTTTTGTTTGTCATTTTCCAAAAACTTGTGGTGAAAAAATAAATTCTTTTATTGATTCAACATGCCTCTCAGAAAATAGTTTGGGGTGTCTACTTTCCAAAAAGGGGTTGTTTTGGGGGATGGGGGCGTTTTATGCCCAGCATTAGAAGTTTATGCCACACATCATTTACTCTTCTAACCACCTGAAGGCCAAGCCTTTTCTGACACTTTTTGCTCACATGAAAAAAATTTGTAAATCTTTTTTGCTAGGAAATTAATTTAAACCCCAAACATTATATACTTTTTTAAAGCAAACACCCTAGTGAATAAAATGGTGGGTGCTGCAATTCTTTATGTCACATAGTACTCACGCAGCGATTTTTCAAACGCAATTTTTTTAAATACACTTTTTTTACTTTTAATGTACGAAAACACAATATATTGGCGAATTATTTGGTAAAATATAAAAGATGATGGTATGCCGAGTAAATAGATACCAAACATGACATGCTTTAAAACTGTGCATGCTCCGTGCAATGGCAACAAACTGCATACATTTTTAATATCCATAGGCAACATTTTAAAAGCCTTTACAAGCTACCATTTTAGATTTACAGAGGAGGTCTAGTGTTAGAATTACTGCCCTTGATCTGACGTTCGTGGTGATACCTCACATGCATGGTGCAACTGCTGTTTCCATACTGGCACAGGGTCAACGTTCACTAACGTAGGTGCGCGCATGTGTGGAGGGGCAAGGGAACTTTTTTTTTTATTTTTAATTATTTTTACACTGTCCCTTTTAATATTTTTTAAAATCACTTTTAATGCTATCACAGGGAATGCAAATATCCCCTATAACTTCAATGGGCATTGTCATATATTCTTTTTTGGGAAATCTGGGGTCTATCAGATATCTCCTCTGCCCTTACATTGTCTAATCAAACCAAGATCGGTGTGATCAGATGCTTTCCCAATTTACAAATGGAGCTGTTTATATCCTGCGAAACTGAAGTGATGAAATGCTCGTAGCTTCTGATTTCTTAGGCTATAGAGATGATTGGCACCATTCTGGTCTCCAATCAACTCAATGGCAGAAACACCGGCTGCAGTCTCAGGTTCCCCCAATGGCTCGGGACTGCGTGAAGGCAGTGGAATGCAGCGGGGGAGGGGGGGGGGGGGGGGGGGTATTGCTTGTAAAAGCAATCCTGCAGCTAATTAGGCACTAGGATTGCTTTTACATGAAAGCCGATTGCCGGCTGAAAAAAATGATACCAGGATGCCTGCAGATGTAGGCATCATCCTGGTATAACCATTCAAAGTCCAGTGATGTATCAGTACATCGCTGATCCTTGTTGGTTATATATGCTATGTTCTTTTTTTTTTTGTATGCAGCCTGTGGACTGAATGAAAAAAGAGAAGAAATCTCTGCCAAAAAAAAAAATGTGTGGTATGCCCACCATTTGCATCCACCCACTTCTAATGGTGGGCACACATTAGGTCACACTTTGCCACATGCACCAGTTCCAAGATTGTTCAAATGTCTAAATAGTGGCAAATAAATAAAAATTGTCCATGTATAAGTGGTGCCCCATATGGATAAAGGATGACACCAAGTCCCAAACTATCTTGCCACTACTCTCCATGTAGTCTTGGCATCCGGGGGGCTCCACGTGACTATCTTTTCCCTCATAAATCTGAAGCTTATAAGTATAGCCTGTTGTCCTCTCACAGGTCTTCTACATCTTGACCCCATATCTGGTACAAATGAGGGACAAATCAACGCAGATTTTTTGCTGGGGAGTATAGACATCTGCAAATTTTAGGTTAAGGTGAATTGCGAGGGGCTGAATTTTGTGGAGCCGGTCAAATTCAGGGTCACCCCAAGGACGACAGAGTGTATTGTCGTTGAAATGCATAAAACACATTATACTCTCATATCTATGCCTGGCCATGGCAGCAGAGAATACAGCCATACGATGAATCGGGTCTGTGGACCAATACAACCGCAATTCATTTTTTTTTAGTAATGCCCATGTTGAGGGTTAGGCCCAAAAAAAATATAAATTCGGAAACCGTAATGTGTTTCACTGCAAATGGTCTGGCATGGTTTGAATTTGGGTTGGCGGCGATACATTGTTGTGCATATAAAATGCTTTGGTCCACAATCAATGCATACAGATCTTCCATGAAAAACAGCTCCAAAAAATCAAGGGGAGTAGTTAAATTTGCTATTTCCACCTGAATTCAGGGTTGGACAGTGAATCAGGGAAGTACGGGTGCTGCAGAATTTGTGGCTGCCAATCGGGATTTGCAAGCACATCTGGAAGGATACTAGGGGCTCTACGGCCTTGTGTGTGTGAATTCTTGGTGGCTGCAGGACAATACTTGTGCTCGCCACCACAACTGCTTGTACTGCACTTATGGGACTCACCACGTCACCAAGTGATACTGCAGTGCTGGTATTATTATTATACAGGATTTATGGCGCCAACAGTTTGCTCAGCGCTTTACAATATAACGGGAGACAGTACAGAACAATACAGTTCAATACAAGAGGGTTAGGAGGGCCTGATCCTGGGAGCTTACAATCTAAGAGGTATGTGAAAGACGAGTATGTACTAGACCGCTGGTGCTCGCCAGTTCACCAAAAGGTAGCGCAGCACTAGTACTGGCACTCTGCTGCATATGAGAGTCATCAAAATTTACTGACAAGTGCTAACAGAGATCAGGCCTGATTCTGCCAACAATGCGGTTTTGTGTGCAATGTATCAAATGACAGTGACCTACTGACACTGCACTTGCTGGAGGAGAAAGGGGGGGGGTAAGCGTAGGGGCTAAACGCAGGTGCTGGCAGGTGCCGGGGCTGATCCTGCTAACGCTGCGTTTTGGAGGACACTATACTAATGTGAACGCTGGTATAGTGCTGATCTGATCAAAGATATTGATCCGTTCAGACACTATACTAGCAATGGAGGTTTATTGTGTATGAGCGTGTTCCTGGCAATCAATGGGTTAAATGTGATGACTGGTGTACTGACGGGCAATCTGATGCTATCTGGGAGGGGCGTGAAAACCACGGGAGTGCGAATCACATATATATATATATATATGAGATTTTGCGCACCTGTGCCGCCCTGTAGCAGTATTTCTGCTATAGGACGGTCAGGAAGTGGTTACATAAGCGGTTTGTGTTACTGCGCTGCGTTACTTTAACAATTGCGCGGTCATGCAACACTGCACTAAAATGAAATTTACATCCTTTTTTCCCCCACGAATTGAGCTTTCTTTTGGTGGTATTTGATCGCCTGTGCGTTTTTTTAGTTTTTTTGCGCTATAAAAAAAAGACCGACGATTTTGAGCAAAAAAAAAAAAAACAATATTTTGGACTTTTTGCTAGAAAACATGTCCAGTAAAAATCACACTTCGTCATAAATTGTGACCAAGATGTATTCTGCGACATGTCTTTGCTAAAAAAAATCCCAATACGTGTAAAATAATTGGTTTACATGAACGTTATAGCGTTTACAAATGGCGGTATAGATACTGGATTTTTTTTTTTATACTATTAATAGTGGTGATCAGCGATTTATGGCGGTAATCAGCGACTTATGGCGGGACTGCGGCAGACATTCTGACACTGGGGGGGAACTGACTTGGGGTCACTGACATCCCCAGTGACATCAATACAGTGATCAGTGCAAAAAAAGAACACTGACACTGTAATAATGGCACTGGGGAGGAAGGGGTTAACTTTTGGAGACAATCAAAGGGTTAACTATGTGAGGGGAGTGTTTTACTAGGGGGTGGGGGTGTGTACTGCTCTGCTCCCATTGTCCTGGAAGGCTGTGTCTTGCAATCCCAGAACAGTGTGCTGAAAGCTGACAGGGATGAAAGCTCCATTGAAAACAATGAACAATGCAGCCTTCCTCCCAGTCGGTGTTTGCTGGCAATCACCGGGCTCCGGCGGGAAATCACTGGCTGGGACCCGGTGATTGACACCCCGCGCCCAGTGCCGCAGGTACGGCGGTCGCGCCCCCTACCCCGGAATGCAGAATCACGTTTATGTACGTGATCCTGCACACAGAGGCCGCCTTGTAGTAGTATATGTACTGCGGGCGGTCCCCTAGTGGTTAAACCACTTCCAGACCAAGCCTTTTCTGGTACCTTTTGTTTACACATAACAATCAGTATTTTTTGCTGGAAAATTACTTAGAACCCCCAAACACTATATATATTTTTTAAAGCTGGGGTGCAAGGGAATAAATTGGTGGATTTTGCAATTATTTATGTCACAGAGTCTTTGCGCAGCGGTTTTTTTCAAACCCAATTTTTTGGGAAAAAACACATTTTTAAAAATGTAAAAAAAAAAATCTGACATTTTTTCGTAAGATGTAAAAAATTATGTTATGCTGAGTAAATAGAAACCAAACATGACATGCTTTAAAATTGTACCCCGGAGACAATCGATGTATTCCCCCCATTGGTGTCAGTGGGGGGAATAGTGCCCCATCATTGTTGTCAGTGGGGGGAATAGTGCCCCATCATTGGTGTCAGTGGGAGGAATAGTGCCCCATCATTGGTGTCAGTGGGGGGAATAGTGCCCCATCATTGGTGTCAGTGGGGGGAATAGTGCCCCATCATTGGTGTCAGTGGGGGGAATAGTGCCCCATCATTGGTGTCAGTGGGGGGAATAGAGCCCCATCATTGGTGTCAGTGGGGGGAATAGTGCCCCATCATTGGTGTCAGTGGGGGGAATAGTGCCCCATCATTGGTGTCAGTGGGGGGAATAGTGCCCCATCATTGGTGTCAGTGGGGGGAATAGTGCCCCATCATTGGTGTCAGTGGGGGAATAGTGCCCCATCATTGGTGTCAGTGGGGGGAATAGTGCCCCATCATTGGTGTCAGTGGGGGGAATAGTGCCCCATCATTGGTGTCAGTGGGGGGAATAGTGCCCCATCATTGGTGTCAGTGGGGGAATAGTGCCCCATCATTGGTGTCAGTGGGAGGAATAGTGCCCCATCATTGGTGTCAGTGGGAGGAATAGTGCCCCATCATTGATGTCAGTGTGGTAGAGGGGGAAATAGTGCCCCATCTTTGGGGTCAGGGGGGGGAATAGTGCCCCATCGTTGGTGTCGGTGGGGGGAGGAATAGTGCCCCATCGTTGGTGTCAGTGGGGGGGAGGAATAGTGCCCCATCGTTGGTGTCAGTGGGGGGGGGAGGAATAGTGCCCCATCATTGGTGTCAGTGCGGGGGGGGGGAGGAAATAGTGCCCCATCATTGGTGTCAGTGGGAGAAATAGTGCCCCATTGTTGGTATTAGTCACACAAATGATGGGGCACTATTCCTCCCACTGACACCAATGATACTTACCTTGCTGACCCCTGCTCCAGCCTGGGCTCGCTCTCTCACTTACCTGTCAGCTGTCTTCCTTCTCTAGCCGCTCTCCTCTTCACTTACTCCGGCAGTTCCCTCGATCTTCTTAGATCTACGCGCGCTGCCGCTCGGCTCCTCCTCTCCAAGCTCCACCTCCTCGCCGGTGATTGGCCGCCTGTGTGCCTCTCCTGAGCTACAGTTCTGGTGGCCAATCAGCGGCGAGGAGGCGGAGTTGTTGAGGGATCCCGGAGGTGTGGCCAGGTGACAGGGCAGCGTGTCATCCCGCCCACACATCGACTGAGTCAGAGGAGCGGTGTCTCGGTTTCTAAGACCATCGGAAATATGTGTTTTCCGATGGTCTTAGGCGACCCCTGGGAAATGGTCGTTCGACCCCCAAAGGGGTCGCGACCCCCAGGTTGAGAACCGCTGCTTTACAGGTTATCAGTTTAGATTTACAGAGGAGGTCTGGTGCTAAAATTACTGGTCATGATCTGACTTTTGCGGCGATACCTCATATATGTGGGACGATCACTGTTTGCATGCGTATGGGAGCAACATATGCATTTGCCTTTGCATGCAAGCACGGGGGGATGGGGCACTTTAACTGTTTTTTTAAAATTATTTATTTATTTTTATTTTTATACTGTCGATTTAATTTTTTTTTTTTAGCACTTTTATTGCTTTCCCAAGGAATGTAAACATCCCTTGTGACAGCAATAGGCATGTGACAGGTACTCTTTATGGAGGGAGTCAATGAGACCCCCAAATTCCTCCTCTGCCCTTAAAAGCATTCATTCACACCAAGGTCGGTGTGAATGAATGTTATTATTTTTACAAAATGGCACTGTGTATTTCTGCATAAACCGGAAGTGATGTCAGGCCATCGCTTCTGGTTTACTATTTAACGAAGCCAAACAAAGCCAATCTGGTCTTTGTTTGGTTCTGTGACCAGCCGGAGGTAGTTTTGGCTGGTCTAATGGGAATCCAGGTAGAACAGGAGCTTCCATTAAAGCCGAGGATGGCGACAGGGGGTTGGAAATGTCCCCTCCCACTGCTTGTAATACCAATCGAGCAGCTAGTTAGCTGCTCAATTGCAAGAGAGCCAACTGTCGAATCTAAATAGCTGTATTGGGATGATGCCTACAATGGCTCCAGTGACATAAAGGTGTGTGGCTGATTGTTTAGACATTGAAATCTAAATGTTCTAGATGTACACATCATGCTGGTGGGCTATGCAACCCATTAAATAATAATGCATAATAACCCCATACAGCTAGTAAGTAAGCATACTTCTTTCACACAATAGTAAAGTGCATGTGTAGACAAAATATGTTAAAACGTGTTCTGTCTCTCCAATCTAAGCATTGAAATTGTGATCTCTGTAACTTACAGTTGTGATGAGATAGCAATAACTCCAATCTTAGTTGAATAACACAGGCAGTGACTCCATCCAGACAACACCTTGTAGATCTTGTGAAGTTTATTCCATAAACTGAGAGAATCTTACAACAATGAATATTGGATAGGTCAAAAGATCATAATGTGATCTACTTCATGACATGAGGTTTGAAGCTGAAGTGCATTACTGGGAAATTAACAAAAGGGTGGGGCTATCTATACAGCATGAACTAAACCAAAGGAAAGGGAGGGAGCAGAGACAAAATGCAAAGAACACTTAAAGGCATATGACAGTCATGTGAAACATGACAAATCATATTCAGTAGATCGCTCCAATACATGTACATTTGCTCATGTTGTGGATCTTTACAAATCTGCAAATACTTATTGATCCTTTTAGAAATGCAGCCAGCTCCTTTTTACCTGTTCCAGGCAGCTGGCAAGGGTGCTGAAAGTCATGAAGACGAGGAGAGGAGGCTATGCCAACATAATTCAGCAGGACTGACAACACTGCTTGAGACTTCAGTGCAGCAGACGCAGCATTTTTAGCCCACTGGATTTCTGAGAGGATCAGATATTTGTAAGTATTTGCAGCTGTTTATAGTGGAAATGCGCATATATTGAAGAATATGATTCTGAACACACATACACTTTAATTGACTGAACTATTCACCAAAAAATCCTCAATGTAAAAAAAAAATAATAATAATGAGAACTTCTCTGCCTACTTTAAATGTTTCTTTTTTTTACTAACAAGAACAATAAAAACACATATGCATGTGTGGATTATTAGGCTATGTAGAATGGAAAAGCAGATATTCCAGCATATGCTCAATAAGGAATAACAGCCTGTTCACAGTGACAGCCTTGTCTCTCCATAGGATTCGGTTTAAGACTAACACAGGTGTGCCATCTGGCTTCCTGTGA